TTATTAAAAATTATTATTAACAGTATTCACGTTGATAGTTATAACATTAAAATTAAAAATACCTACTCATCGTATTATGATGTACACAAATAATATCTGTTTGAAAGACAACTAAAATATATAATACTTATTTATTATTATTTATTACTTATTACTTATGTGATAGGTAACTTCTGTACTTAAAAATACAATATATACTATATCTTTATGTGTATGCATATTAACTTAACTGAGTTAAAAAAAAAAAAACTTAACTTGCCCAGTCTTGTGTGTTTATAATGAGTCGGTCGAGATAAAGACAATATTAATATGTATTTATATCCGCACGCAACTAACTGACTGTGTACGATCAAAATAATGTCTATTTTGATTGATATACCATATTATACGGTACCCATAATTTCGTTATGAAATCTTTTTTCGTTGTTGGTTAAGTATTGTGTTTACTGTTTACTCAATAGTCATATTATTATGACGCATATTTGTGTATACACGGTTGATTAATAATAAGAAATTCATCAATAATATCACATTATTTTTTTTATTTTTTTTGGTCCTGGGGGGGGTTTGAACCCGAAAACCCCCCCCGTATGTACGCCACTGGGTACCTATATATGTTTTTGGACAGGGTACAGATATTTTATTTGTCTAAACTATTTTGTTGTTACCGTTATACTTATTAACAAAAACATATATAAGATTCATATAGATTCATAGATTTTCCTTGTAGAAGAAAAATATGGTGTGGTTTTTTTTGATGGAGGTAAAATCTAATGTAATTACCCCTATGTGTATAATAACCATGAAGTATAAAATAAATTAACTTCGTATGATTATAAACCTGCACACCCACACAGATGAAAGGATATATAAAGTAGGTACATAGGTGCCTCTTAAACTTTAAAGGCTAAGTCCTAAGTGTATTATAGTACTCATATCGCTTCACTCATCTTCGTGCAATCCAGTGTTGTTTTATTATTTTAAATTTTAAAACAATGATAAATTTCAAACTTTGTATGGTAAAAATTAGAAATATAATCCACATTTTCTTTTGTTTTATTATTTTCTAAATAAACGTTCAGTATTGTTTGAAAATGTGTTCATACATAAAATTAGTATAATAGAATAAATAATAGGTAAATTGTTTAAATCATTATTAGGCTAAAAATATTCCACACAAAAACTAGAAAAAATACCATTTTTATTTGCTGTACATTTTAATTTTGTAGTCATCAATTACCAGCATAGTACCTACCTATATAGTTTGTCACATCTGGACACCCAAAATTGTTTCCTTGTTTCCTTGAAAGAGTTAAAAAAAAGTACTGACTGTCTGAAAAATTATTTAATCCAACACATGTATAAAGTGTGCAAGGGAGTTCAGCTACCCGTAAATAACCTAAACAATTTAAGAAATTATGTGTGCGTAAAACAGTTGTCCAATTACAATTAAATTTATTGCATTATTTGCAAATTAATTACCCACTGAAACTCACCGGGTTAGACAAACATAAGTTAAATTGTCCATTTTGGGCTAAAATAATGTTGTACAGAATTACTTTAATGAGGTATTAAATCAATTATTTCAAATATTTTATTTAGTAACGTTGAACTATTTATTGTATAGATAACTTCGTGAGATTGTGACTGTAAATCTGTCATAGAGACGCGTTTAAGTCAACGCTAGCCACAACCTCATGTTATATAAATTAAGACTTTTTACTAGCATAAAATATTCAAATGTTTTTTTGTATATTATTTAAAATATTTAACTATGAACCACTCACATATAGGTTATAATATATATTATATTATACTGTTTATGTAACATGTATATTGAATATATTATGTTATTTAAACTTATTAAATATTCAAATATGTGAAATATGACTTGGTTCATTGTTGAAAATAATACCTATTATTTTTAAAGTACAGCTGAACTTAAATAAACACGTTTTTGTATTCCATAAATAGTTCTAATATAAAATATTTTACAAAATTATATTTTGCCATTTTGACAATAATAAAATATGAAAACACAAATAGGTATCTATACAAATTTAATTTATACATTCTACGTACATATATTAAGTAAAGACCTTCTATAAAAGTAAACCATCTTAAACTAGGTAATTGTTTTCAAAAATTGTAACGGTGTTGCATTGTGCCAAAGAACCATAACATAAAAAGTAGAGCCATCTTATAATCTCTGCGTTTCAGGCCGATAAACATTTGCAGGAAATTACACTTCCTGTTATTAAAATATTGAAGGCACAGCTCTTCTTTACATAAATTGTCTTTAAAAAAAAAAATAAAAAAATTTCAAACTGTCAACTCGTGTTTACTGTCACAAAGGTAATTAATGTACAAAATGTTATCGTTTCGTCGCTCTCAAATGCATATTATAATAATAATAATACGTGATGCATTAACTATATTTTTTATATTGCGCCGGTGTGAGCAAATAGCGAGACGGCTCGTGTCCTGCACAGTCGTCAGTCACATATTATAGCCATATAGGTGGTTATATGGTAGGTAGGTACCTATACCTAGTACCTACCATTGATTATACATAGTACCTATATATTAAGCATATCTGTTGACTGTTTCCGTGTCCACATCTAAGACAGCTATTGGCGTTGCAAAATTTGCAATCAAAATTTAAGCAAAAAAATTATATATTTTTTTGTTGTATTGATTTTGTTTAATTTTTAAAAAATAAAATGTTATCAGTATTAGGTGATGTGTGGTTGAAAAGGAGAATATGATTATGAGTCAAAACTATTTTTAAATAAATCCTATTCTTATATAATTACATTGATAACAATAATGATAACATAACATGTTGGTATCTAAATTTTTAGATATGTTACAAAAAAGTATTTAAAAAATATGTGTTTATATGTTTATTTTTTAGAAATCCTGGCTACGCCCACTAGTCATATTATGTATAATTATAATTTTTCCCAAAATTAATATCGATTAGGTATAGCACTCAATAGTAGGTGTCTATTTTAGTGAAAAAGTTAATAAATTCTAACATTACAGGATGTGTATTTGTGGCACATTAGATAAATTTACCATGAAATAACTCACAGGTATTTGTGGTTAATGCAGTTGATGCTAAAGCCACTGATGAGGTAAGTGGTGTAAATATTGAATTATTGTATGAATGTGTTTACCAGTCGAATAATCCACGTATAATTGAAATTTAGCACCTTGAGGCATTATTGAGTATTGACACTTGACATTAAATCATCAACAAAATACGAACAAACTTTATTAGGTATTTTTATAAACTATAAATAATAATATAATCCAATATTTTGTATTTTTCTATACCGATGCTGCGCAAATGAGAGCGGCCACCGAAAATATTAACTACAACTATTGTACCTACTATTTTTTATTTAATTTTTTTATTTAATAAGTACTGCAATTTGGATAAGCCATGGATATTCGATTATTGGATTAATATTATGTTTCTTTAAACCAACAAGGAAATGTGTGTCTGGGCTTTGAGGAGGTCGTGGCCTCTTGCCTTCCCCCTCCCCTCACCTCATAACTGTATTCGTCACTGGTTCAATCGAAAGAACAATCTTTTAGAATATAGGTACGCAATAATTGGGTTGGTACTTATTACCTACACAATAGTGCACATGACAAATATTCAAAAGACGGAACCTCCGACACAAAGAAAATATATAGGTACTGTTTTAATGGAATCGCAAGCTTAATTTTCACTCTGGTAGCACTCTGATACCCATCTCGAGTACATATTTGATATTAATTACTCAATAAACATTACAATGAAACAAAATCACAGTAGTTAGGTAAGGCCTTTACAAAATGTTTTTTGTAAGTTTTTTGTTGAAGTAATTATTTCCTTTAAAATATTAAATGCTATTTTTATTGGCTTACGTTTATAACATCAAAATGAGATAAGCCGTCTACTCGTATAACAATCAAATCGTAAATAGACACGCTTTAATAATTGTTTTAATGCACGTTCATACAGAACAACTATTAAAATTTGTGATGGTGAGTGTATAATATTAATATTATAATTTATACTTTATTAATTAGTGAATCAAAAATATCAAAAATATAATAACAATTGTTACTTAAAAAATAAATAAAACAAGTTCCGAGATTATTTTTATTAACTATTGGTAGGTACTTTAGTAATAACCCAATTGTTTATAATTACCTACTTTATTATGATGGTGAAAGGTGTGCGGGCCACTGAAAATGGTTTGTCCGAACTTTACATTTCATAAAGCATTGGTGTTTTGGAAGTGGGTACAATAATTTCACCAGTATTATTTGAATTGTTCTAAACATAGGTGTTATTTATGTGTCTATAATATAGGTATTTATTAACGTAAATTGATTCAAATGTAACTTATTAATCAATGTCTTATTGTTACAGCCTAACACATATTCAAATCAATAAAATATGTTTTCAATATTTCCTTAACATTTATTCTTAACTGTATAGTTGAACAATTATTTATTTAAAAAAATCATTTTAATTTCCTGACAAAACGAAATTAGCTTTTTAAATGTTTAAGACTATATGAATACAAATTAAACAACGAACGAAAATGGCGAAGGTATGTAGTGTAATTGTTGCCCGTTACAGATGATGATCACAATACAAGTTATTACAATATAAACCTAAAGAAATACGTTCAAATAATTCTTCTTTGACAGTTGCCATTTGTGATCCAAATAGGACATACATACGTTGTTCCGTGTAATTTAATTAATTTTTGTGAACATAATTAAATTAGTATTTTGTGAATTTCTATAAGTGTATATTTATTTTTTATAATACAACTATTATAAAAAATACAACTACCTAACTATTGTTTTATTAAACAAATTTAAAATTTTTGTAACTATTCATTTTTTTTAAAGTATAGCAAAGTACACAATATATTTATCATACATTTATTATTAGAAGATAAACTTCACTACAATATTTATAGGATAAAATGAAAACTTCTAATTTCCCAATGAAGACTGTTCTAGTATTTGCAGTATACTTAATCAAATATTCTCTGGAACTAGATTATTCAAAAATACAGGTACCTATTTTAAATCACTAATTTGATTTTACTTATTATGCATGACATATTATTTGACGCACATTGTTTTATTTATAATTTATATATAAATAACACACTTACACAACCGGCAGAATCTGATATTTTTATATTTAATAATTTTTTGTTTTCGTAACTAACAGAAACTGAATATTTTATTTAACATTATACCATAATAAAAATATTATTACGGTTTATTAGTCGGATTTTAATGGAAAATTATATAATTTGATCATATTTTGAAATATGTGATATAATTTTTTGAAAATTAAAGTATAGCGTTGAGACCTATGACCTATCTAGATACTAATTAAGTATTATTTATCTTTATCTTATCTATAGATAAATATTGATATCGAGTTATCTATAATGTTTACCTTAGATGAAAAAAGGCTGTATCCAGATAAATATATCTTTATGAATCTGATCCAAAAAACAAAACAAAGCCATATTTTGAATTGTCATAAAATAATCGAAAATAACAAAAAAAATATTGTTTTATTCGAATATAGCAAACTAATTCAAATAAAAAATATGAAAACCTATAAAAAAAATTTATAAATCTTCATTAAAATGTGTACATTTAGAATTGTATTGAAAACTTTTGTAGGTATATTGTTATTATTATAAATGTAATAGTATATTTCTATAACATTCGATTATTTGTAAACATATAAGTCATACGGCTTACATTTTAAAGATATTTTTTAGTAGCATTTTCATGGTTAAAATTCATTTTTTGTAGCATTTTGGTTACTTTTAATGCCTTAACTGTAGGTTTTCAATGCATAATTTTCCTAGCACTAGTCAGAATAAATACAGTTTAAGCAATTTATATGTACAATAATATAATAAACGACAGTCATTAGTTTACAATTATTAACATTTTTGAATTCAAAGAAGAAATGGCTTAATTATTCCTTAGACGATTTTCTTCTTTGAAACAATTTTTTTAAGTAAAACATTTATTCTCCAGTCTCTCATAGTCGACGCCTGTTGAAACTTATAAGACTGTTTAGTGGTGCTATACACATTTTTATTATATTTTTATATATGACATTTTTTATTTGTGTGTATTTTAAAACATTCATCAATATTTTAGGGGTTTAATACTAACATGGAAGAAGCTACACAATTCCTTCGTGAATGGGAAAATGAAGCAGTAGCCTTGTGCAATAGAGTGGCGATGGCACAGTGGACATATGCAACAAATATAACGGAATATAATAAAAAGCAAATGGTGAATCTATAAACATTTCAATATATTTCAATTAATAACGATAGAATATAAAACATTAGATGAATAATGGCACATAATAATGTACACTTCATGCAATAACAGCAGGTATAGTCTATAACTGCTGTCTGCGTGAGATATGTAATATAGTATCATATTATATACATAATAAAAATAAATATTTAGCTTACCTTAGATTCTGAGCAGAGTGTTAGTATATTTCTCTCTTTGTCTGCCATTACTTTCTAGAGCAGTAGACATCATTCGATCTTCAACTTTGAGGATGGCTTCTGGTACCAAAATTGGATCTATTTGGTTCTTTGAATAATAAAATGTTAAACATACTTTTCAAAATAATCGAGTAAAGATTTAAAAAAATACGTCAATATTTTGAAACAATTTTCAAAATGTACTTTGATATTTGTAGTAATTCAAAAACAAATAACCGAAAATCGATAGATTTTAGAAATGTTCACCAAATGTATATAATTGCATTTTCTAGGTATGATACAATTTTAAAAATAGTTTGACTCTGAGCAATTTATAAACATATTAATATGACATTTTTGACAGACATTAATATTTTTCATACTTGGTCCAAAAGTTTAAAAATGTAATGCAAAGTTTCTTTAGTTTATATAGCACATGAGTAGATGTAGAAATTATTATATACCTACCCATATTTTTTTTATAATAACTTGAAGTTAAAATTTCTACAAAATTTGACAGGACATTTTGTAGTTAAAAATTTGTAAAATGTTCAGTTTTAGTACCTAGTTAGGGCTTAAAAAATGTAATACAAGATTCTTGATAAGTTCTTGAATTTAATCGAAAAAACAACAATTTTTACACAGCTTAATTTAAAACTTCAAAAAATTGGATAAGTATTTAAACAAAAAATACCGATTTTTCCTTTTCCAATTTTAGTTTTATATTTGTAAATAAAATGCTAAAAATATTAATTGTATGTACTTAAAACGTTTCACTATTATGATTTATGAGCAATGACCATTATTAATTTCTATATCTTTCTACAGGTATAATAATATGTATAACATTCAAACTAATTGTAAGCTATGTATACCACGAAGGCACGTATTAATTATTATACTGTATAATATTATATGCTATGTTTTCGACAAAAATTAGTTTAACCTCTATAATTATTAATTACTAATATACAAATAAATTACTCATACTGAGTTAAATAAATATTTAAACTATTTCAGACCCATCTGAGGTCCGATTTAGAATATCAATTATAATGGACAGTTAAAATAGTTTCAATAGCGCTCGAGATAATTTTTACTTGATCCAATGTCTACTATACAGTGGACATTTTTTTTATCCCTAATAAGGGCCATATAACTTTAAATTAATAATAATTAACTATTTTAAAGTGAAGACTTGTGTTTGGTCATTTGTATTAGATGGTATATATTTAAAAATGTAATTTAAATGGATATTGGGATAAGTAATATTTCTTAATATTAAAAACAATAAATTTAAAAAAAAAAACAAATTAGGTTATCGGGTTGACAACACTGCAAAAGTAAAAATTGACTTGGGCACTAATGCAGTAATAATAACTGTCCATTTAAATGGACATTGAGCTCGTAGCATTACAATATTACCAGCAAATTAGGAGGTTATACGTTTTTTTATGTCGCATTAAATATATTTATTGTATAAAAATAATAATAAATATATAATGTCCCTATACTTGGAATTATTTAAAATATATAAAACTCGAGGTAGGTAATAATAATAATAATTATTATTATCATTATTATTATTATTGTTATTATCATTATTATTATTGTTACTATAACCAGAATGCCAGAATTGAGAGTTCATAAAATGTTCGTATCGTAGTGATAAAATATAGCCAATAGGTATATTTTACAACATAACTGCAGCCACAAAGATGGTATTATGTTTTATGAGTGTGCTAAAAATGAAACGCACTAATTACATGTAGGATTATTTTTTTTAGGCAGTAATTCATATTAAAATTATTGAGGTCAATCTTTTTTATTTTGAAATTCGAAATTGTAGCTTTTCCGAATAATACCATTCAGTTTTTAAAATGTTATTATTGTTTGAAATTCCTTTATAGAACTTTGGAAAAAACACATTATTGCATATGCAAAAGTTTAATTTATTTTTATTTTCAGAAAATTATTTGATACCAACATACCGAGTGATCCATTGAATAACTATTAACGTTTTTGAAAATATTTTTTTTACATAATTTTAAGTCGTTAAAACAACATTTTCAAAAAATATTTTTTTATCGTAATAATTTGTAATTTTTTAACTTAATTAAATGACAATACGTATTTTAATTCCGTATTTCAAAGCAAAATTTTTAATTGAAATACTTCAAAATATAAAAAAAGCGGATAAGTTGGTGTCCCTCTGCTGTACAGTAGGTTACAAATAGTGGATCAATTTCAATGGCTTGTGTTAAATTTGAATTCAATGATATAGTAATATTATCATTGTTTAAGAAAAACGATTCTGATTGGAGACAGTTTGTCAGCCTATGATATTTTATATTATATTTATATTGTAATTATTAATAGGTACAGTAACGGTTAAGTTAAATTAATATTATTTGCATAATATCATATTTAAATATTTGTATATAATAATGTATTAATGTACTTTAAGAGTTGTAAGTACACCCGGGAGTGGTCCACGAATACAATTTTTAAATTACAACGAAATAACTAAAATTGTTATTCTTGGTACCTAATTTGAACTTAAAATAACTATTAAAAAAAAAAACTGTTTATATATTTTTTGATTTTTTGGTTACAGAATTAATTGCTTACGTGGAACCTTGTTTAAAATTGTCAATCCTTAGCTGTAAAAGTTGAACATTTTATACATTTTTAACTACAAAATAGTTATTAAATTTTAAATTGTATACATTTTGTCAAAATTCGAACTTTAAATGCTTATAAAAAAAAAATGTGCCTATTCATTTTTAATATTATTCAATTGCTATCGTAACAATATATCAGGAGCCTTGTATTAAATTTTCAAGCTTTTTGACCCAACGAACAACTTTTCATCGACATTTATAGAAAAAAAACTGAAAAAATTGAAAATTGAAAATATTATCAAGTGGGTATAGGAAATGATAAAATAGACATTTTGTGTAAATTTCAAGTATCTAAGGTTATAGGTTCTTTAATAACACAAAAATAAGAAAGTCGTGGTATGAGAATTTGTAAATTTACTGGTGAATATCCGATACCTAACTTCAAACGCTCGTAAAAATATTATTTGACTTCCCAGTAAAGTTATTTTTTACGTTGAATGTAGGAAAACTTAAGAGCATTCTTGTATTACAATTTCAAAGCTTAGATATAAATGGAAAAAATTGAATGAATTCCTAACTCAAATTAATTTTCCAATTTTCCTGGTTTTAATGAATTTTGTCAACGTTTTAACTTCAGACGCTCATAAAAAAATATTGGGGATTTACACCCAACTTTTTTTTTGAATTTCCACTAACAGCAATTCATGAGAAACGTTGTATTGCATTTTAAAGTTTTTTAACTTTTGCTAAAAATATTTTATTGACATTAATTTTAAAAAGAAATTAATAAGACTCGAAATTTTCTAGTGCCTATAAAAAGCACTAAAAGAGTCGCAATATTCCAAAAATACTGGGGTGTTAAAAAAAATAGCGAATTGCTTGATCCAAAATTGAAGTAAATATCCATCCCCTGTCCCCTTGAACACGACGCTAAATGTAAAATAATTTACATATTATTACAAATTTTTTCTATTTATATTTTTTATAGTTCAGAATTCTTCAGATGTTAAATTTTTTTTTCATTTTCCAAATGAATTAATAAAATCATCATAATAATTAGCTATTATTCTTACAAATATTCATATAATTTCAATTAATTAAGTAGGTATCTGGACCATAATATTAATGCTGTCTGCCTGTCTATATTAGATTTTCATTTAATAGTAATTTTATTGAGGTCATAAATCATAAGGTATTTTCTTTTTATTTATAATTAAAATATGTTAACATATTACTGAGATAACTCGTAGATAAATTACCTAAGTATACTAAGTTACCTACATATATTCAGGAATATTTAACAAAATCAAAACTTAACCCACCACTGCAGTGTAGTAAAACATTTATTTAAACATACCTAGTGTCATAAAAATTTACCGTATCAGATATGAACACATTATGATTATATTATTATAATATATGTATTTAGTATGATGTAAATATAATAAATAAAAAAGGGAAATATAACAATACGTAATAAGTTTAGTTTGTATAATCTAAATAACTAAATCATAGGTTATAGGTACTAACTATAATTATTAAGTTGGCACCTGACAACTACACAATAATTGTTTTTTTTCTTTAATAAATAATATGTAATAATTATTAGGTGGTTATTTCCATATTTAAATTGTAATAATAATCCCTTAATATTTACTACTTTTTCACTTTTACTATAAAGATAGATGAACAAAAATTGAACTCCAAGTTCAATAGAGTATCTTGGAGGAAAGCTTCTGATTTCATGTGGACTCGTATATCTGATCCTATTATACAAAGACAACTCAAAATTTTGGCACTGAAAGGCCAATCGAATGTACCAGATTCAAAACTAAATCAGGTAAATATATTTACAAAAATTAAAATTCATTCTAAATCTACTGTTGTACACGAAATTGTATATATCTCTTAGCTCAAAATAAGCTATAAAAAGAAAAATTGAAACAACCAAAATGTGTTCGTTATTCATAATTAAGACAAATAGGTCCCTACTTAAAAAAATATTATTTCTTAAAAGTAATTTAAAAAACTTAAATTTAAAAAGTATAAATTCGTTTTTTTTTTATAACTTCAGTTCTAAGACAGCCATATATTATTTACGAAAATCGTCTCACTTGAAAGAGAACCACTCAGGCTGTACAGTTGCAGTTGTGAAACCAAATGTATATGATATGTATAGAAGACAATATTGTATGTGTCATAATGTTTTTATTTTTTGTATATCATAATTATAAAAACGTTATAGTTTTAAAAACATAAAAATAACGGATTTTACAAAACTAATTACTTTATTAATTGCATTAATGATATAAAAAAGAAAATCTTCGTTTAGTTTTCTTTTCTGTTTATTATATTTAAATAAGTTACCTATGCAAAATTTGATTTTGATAAAAGAAATATGATTTTGTTAAAATAAAATTAATTAATACATTATTGTCTGGGTACCACCTATATTAAATAGATACATTAATATTTTCTCGTTTTATAGATGCATTCGATTTTAAATGAAATGAAAGATATTTATGCTAAAGCGAAAATATGTCCATTCAATTATAGATTGACATCGTATTGTGAACTAAGTCTTGAACCAGGTATCAATAATTCATTATTTATATATAATAAACAGTCATCTGCATAGTAATATGATAATTTTGAAAAAAAAATACAAAAAGATTTAGTAAGAGTAATGGCTAACTCAAGAGATTTTGAAGAGCTATTGTATACATGGCGTTCATGGAGAGATAATATTGGACATGAAATTCGACCCAAATACATAAAATATATGGAATTGGTTAACGAAGCTGCAATGTCAATAGGTATTGTAATATTTTTAAGAATTGAAAACAATGAAGAACCATTAGTTATGCTATATTTAACAATGTATATTAAATAATAATACATAATATTGTGATTAAAAGTGACTGGTAAGCTGTGTACAACGATACATTATTAATATTTTAGATTCAAAACCGGTCAAGGGACTTGATAGTCTTATATAATAATAGCGTGTTTTTTCCCCGATTTTTTTAGAATATTTCGTACGTATTTAAGTCAATTACACATTTTTAATTTAAAACTGAAAACGTTTTCAAACGAAAATAAAATAACCGAGATCATTTCAAATTTCGCAGTATTAACATAATATTATAATGTGTTTAATATACATGAAACCATCCAGCTAAAACATTGGCCTACTTGCAAGTGCGATGAAAGGTCACATTTTTTTTATTCGCAACACTGTAGGGTTTGAAGACGCGGGTCAACAACAAATCGCCATGTATGAAGATGCAAATTTTAAAGCAAAACTTGAAAATTTATGGACAGCCATAGAGCCGATTTATAAACATCTGCACTCTTACGTTCGGCGAAAATTAGTTTCTCACTATGGGACACGCAGGGTTCGAGTCGATGGACCAATTCCAGCTCATTTACTAGGTAAGTGCCATACTGCCATTTATACAAAGTGAATAATAGGCACAATAGATAAAATATTAAAAATAATAATTTAATATTATATTTAATCGTTTTACAAAATGCTTTACAAATAGAAAGTAAATAATTATTATGTTCAAATGTAAATACGTTGTATAATATTATCAATTATGTACAATGCACATAAAAGCTATAACTAGAAGCTTGAGCTAGGTTTACCCAGTGTCGAAAAATCTGTTGTTACATTTGTTATATATTTACTTACAAATCTTTACAATAGGTATTATAACTTTCAATGTATTTTATGAAGTTCTATGTTTTTGATAAGGTAACATGTGGGCACAGAACTGGAAAAACATAATAGACTTAGTGATTCCATTTCCGAAGAAAAGACGTATTGATGTTTCCGGTGAAATGTTACGTCAAGGATACACGCCTTTAAAGTAATATGTACATTTGAATTAATACATCTAAACAAATAACAATAGCGGTATGACCTAAATACATAATTTATTTTTGAACGTACCTATCAAATTATGATTAACAGGTCCATTGATCGCCTATTTAATTTTTGACTTTATGGTCAATTTTACTAAAAATTTTCAGTTTTATTTTGGATGTCAATCAAAATTATTTAACGTACATCACCCCTGCCCGACCCATTAGAAACAATTATGAAATACAAATTGAATAAATTAGGATCTAAATGTTAGGTTAATTAACTAGAAAGGTAGGTATCTAAATTCATAACTTTGACGAAAAATAAATCTATTTTGTTTTACTTTTGAGTTTTTCTAAAAATTGTATTAATAATATTACATTAACGTTTACTATTGACATTAAATAAACGCAGAGAAATGTCAAATTTTAGTCAATATGCTTAGTAAATTTACTATTAATTATGCAATACTATATTTAATATATTTTAGATAAGGTTTATCAATATGGAATAACTTAATACTTATATTACGAGTATATTTACCTATATGAAACCATATTATATAATTACCGACTCATTAATATTCGTATAGGTATATAATAATTATTGTATATTAATTATATACCTAAACCTATTTATACAGAGAAGACTCACTAAGTAACTAGGAAATTTATTTGTAGCTATCACGTATTTATTATGTATTTTTTAACATCAACTAATAAGCGAATAATTACATTAAATGTTTACTTTCTAGTAGGTACCTACTTAACGTATTTTGGTGTAACTATTTTGTTCACCTTTTAATAAAATCGGAGTAGATGCCAATTTGAAAAATCCATTTAACATTTGACTCTAATCAAAGTCAAAGTAAACCCTCTAAAACGTGGTGAATGTAAATCCTATGTACATAAAGTTTTAACTTGGATAATATGTGAGTAGGTATAAATCAATAGTATACCTACTGTTCTTTTATGCATTTAATTAAGTACATAATTCGACACGATAAGGAAAATCAGATTATAATCCTTTAAGCAATACGCAAATACTCATTAATAATTCAACGATTAAAAATAAAATAAAATGTATGGTTCAATTATGTTTTTAATATTGTTTAATGACAGATGTAAGTGTCTTAAGGCAGATAAAAGTAATATACTAATTAGGTAGAAAATAAATAATTATCGATAATTATTATATCAATCGGAAATAATATTTAGATTCCAGAAGGTTTCCGTTCTATTAAAATAAAATAAATGATAGGTACCTGTAATAATTATTGTTTTATTTTTCGTAACTAAGCATATATTATTTATAAATTATAAACTGACTTGTTCGGTTATATGGAGCAAAAGATAACATTTTATCCTAATAGGTTTGTCGCTTGTGTACCATGATTGTTCATGAGTTAATTTACTAATCGTTAGTAGGTATGGTGCGTGTTTGTTGACTGCAGTGTTGATACGAAATTTTATATTTTGTGAGTGAATTTTAAACAAACAATTTCGAAGCATGACTTAAATTCAAAGTCAAAGTACTAAACTATGACAATTTGTTGAAAAATTTTCAAGCATTATTAGATTCTGAGTGAAACGATGAATGTATTGATTTTACAATGATGTGTGTTTTTATTTTTTATTTTTTTAATTTTTTAATTTTTTTATTTTTGTGTCTGTGTACACGATAAGTAGTCGAAATAATGCTTCGATTTTCGACTTCAGTATCTTGTTCGATTGGAAAGTGAATATCGTTGGTGCATTGGGGAGGTCAAATTTTAAAACTCCCAGTACTTTTCAAAAGCGCCAAGAAAAACAAGAAAAATTAAGGAAAAACGGGAATTTTTACGCAAAATCGATTTTTCAGAAAATTATTGAATTTGGTCTTTGGTGTAACTTTAAAACAAATGACCGCAGATACATGAAATTTTCACTGGTTGTTTATATTTGTATTTTCTGTACACGATAACATTTTCAAAATATTTTGATTTATTTTGAACTGTTTAGGGACATTTTCATTTTTCATTTTTTTTTAGTTTATTATCTAGAAATATCAATTAAATGTTATTTGTTGGTTAAAAAGCTTGAAAATTTAATAGAAGGCTCCTAGTATATTGTTTCAAAGGCAGGAGAAAAATATTAAAAATCGTTTGGCACAGTTTTTTTTTATAAGCATTTAAAGTTAAAAAATTGACAAAATCACGAAAATTAGCAAATTATTTTGAGTTAAGAATTCGTGAAAATTTTTCCTTTTAAATCTAAGATTTGGAAATGTAATACAAGATTACTCATAAGTTTGTCTACCTTTATCAATAAGAAAATCTCTACCGGACAGTCAAATTAAATTTTTATGAGCGTTTGAAATTCAAATTTTTACAACATTGGATGTTCACTCGATTTCTCATGTAGGTAGCGATTTTCTTATTTTGTTGTTATTCATAAACGAATAACTATAGATACATGAAAATTTCACTGAATGTTTATATTAGCATTTCCTATACACCATACAATATTGAAAATATTTTGACTCTTTTTGAGCTGTTTACGGATATTTTCATTTTTCAATTTTTTTAGTTTTTTTTTTCTATGAATATCAATTAAGTTTTATCTGTTGGGCCAAAAAGTGTAAAAATTTAATAAAAGGCTCCTAGTATATTGTTACAATATCAGTTGAAAAATATTAAAAATACATAGGCACAATTTTTTTTTATAAGCATTTAAACATCGAATTTTTCAAAATCTCGAAAATTATTAATCATCGTAATTAATAAATTATAAAATGTTCAGTTTTTATAGCTAAGGATTGAAAATTTAAAACAAGATTCCACGTAAGTAGTTAATTCTCTTACCGAAAAATCTAAAAAATATACAATCACAGTTTATTTTTATAGTCATTATGTTCAAATTTGGACGAAATTACATATTAAAAAACCTAGTTATTTTGTTGTGATTATATAATATTATTCGTGGGTACCTACTTGAAACTTCTAAAGTGTACTATTATATATCTATGATAGTATCAGGGTTTGTTATTGATGTTGATGTATAACGTGTTATAAGTACCTAATGGATATTGTGATAATGTGATATTATTAATTTGGAATTTATTATAGGTCAATTTTTTTTTTAATACCATAGATATGTATATAATTTGTCTTAAACCTAGACTGACATACCGTCTTCGCTCAGAATCGTTTTTCTTATACAATGATATTGTATCATTGAATTCAAATTTAATAGCATCCATTATACAGTGACCCACTTGTAACCTACTGTACAGCAGAGCGACATCCACTTACCCACCTTTTTTTAAAATTTTATTACTTAAATGCTATACACAATATGTGGAATAAGCCAGACGTGGTTTTAGTTCAAAAATAATTTGAAATGTCCCTCTCCCAACTTATACCTAAGTGATTTAAATATAGGTACATTTTTGCATCGCAATATTGAAAACTATCCCAGGGCAATCGCTGAACTGCTGTGTAGTCGGGTGGGCACTGGGTACATTTCACACATATAATAATAACAAAAATGTTTAGATTTTATTTGAAAACAACGTACAAGTTATAAATGTATAATATACCTAAATAATATTAGGATGTTCCAAATTTCTGAAGAATTTTTCACATCACTTGGATTAAAAGCGATGCCAGTGGAGTTTTGGCATAATTCAATTTTGGAAAAGCCAACAAACAGGCCAGTGTCGTGCAAAGCATCTGCTTGGGATTTTTGTGATAAATATGATTACAGGTAAATATTATTATATACATAAAAAATTATCATAACTCAGCTAGGTTGTTCTATATAATTTTTGATTTAGAGATTATTTCTCAATTCATAATTTTCAAAAAACATGAATTTATTATTACTATTATTATTATTATTACTTATTATGGTGAGTATTTAAAAATATATTCAAGAGTTCAAGACATATAAAGTATGACTTATTAATGAAAACTGACTACCTAGTACCTAGGTACTTGAATAAAATTGATTCCTATTACAAAGTAGAGTCAAATATTATCCTATAATTATAAAATAAATCAGTGGTTAACGAGATTGGAAATTTAACTATATACTTGTAAATATTATTAAAAGTTACTAGGTACGTTTATTGAATATCTAACTTATAGTTATAGTTCACTATCTCATTTTCTATGCAGTTATTATTAAGAAGCCCAGTGCCGGTTTTTAAACTTTCCCGAAATTCTATAAAATTTGAAAATTATATTTATACTTTAGTTGCCACCATAGTCACAATACGTTTCCATTAATCTACTAACCGATACCTATATTTAAGGGGGTTGATACGAATTATATCGAAAAAATGACTTCACAGGAACCATTCTCAGGCTTTGGAGAATTGTAGGGTTTTGATAAATATTTTATTATCTGAAAGAAGAAAAATTCTTACAGGCCGCATTGAACTCGGATTTTTTATTTTATTCCAAGTCTTATATTTAAAGACCTAATACAAAGTTTGAGATTAAAATACTGAGAAACGGAGTTCAATGCGGCCTGAAGAATATTGCCTTCTATTAGTTTAAATAAAAATAAATATCATATTTGGTTGATTCTACAGGACATGATCATTAATATTCTTGTAGTAGACAGTATTTTTGTGAACAAAATGACATTCACGCCTGGCGCCTTAACATAATACTCGCTATATACATAATTATACTGTCGGATATTATCTTTCTCCTTATAATAAGTAACCATTGACCGTGGGAGGGCAAACATGACAATTATAACAATTCGAATACTTCTGATACGAACAAATACACAAAGGGATTTTTAAGTCGCAGGTTGTAATAGTAGTCGACCACGGAGAGATTAATATCTCCTTATACCTACCCACTTCTAAGAAAGTGCCAGATAGGTTGTAAGATGCGAGGGGAACATAATAGTGGTTAGCATAACCACACAAAGAATACGACAATACAAATTATGATCAACGTTGACACTGATAAATGATTATAATACACTTATACCTATTACAATATTATTATTTAACAGTATTTCACTGTACATTAATCAATAATGCAGCTGCAGCTGGATGCACGCGTGTGTGCAAGCCAGTGTAGAGAGCATTTCCATTGATCATAATATGCATGTACCTATTTACTGTGATAGTCCTTGGGAACGATAATTCTTATAGCAAGGGACAAGAGAAGTATAACGTAGGTCTATATAGGAGAACCCAGAACAGCCCATATTCAGACGTGATTTTAGAGAGCAAACGTGAGCACCTTCAAGCCAGTCGAGTTTTTGAATTAATATTTCGGACTTAGAATAATTCCGATCAACAATATTTTGGACTTGGAAAATAAACGATTAAAATCATATATTTTTCAAACACTTAGAATAATTCGTTGATCCGGATATTCTGTGATTTCGAATAAATTCATTGTTTAAATTAAATTACTTGAACTTTTTACTATTGATAATAAACGCATTAAAATTAACAAATTGTCTACAACTTTTTACAACTCCGAGTCATCATTTTCATTCAAACAATACTCTGTACGCGGGGATCACTACAATATACAGGATTAAAAGAATTCTTCCAAATATATATATTATAATTATTAAATAAAAGAATAAATTACATAAACAAGCTCTTAAATACAGTTTTAAAAATTGTTAAACTATGAATCTATTTTGTTTTTTAGAATTAAACAATGCACTGAAGTTTCAATGGATGATCTATTTTCGACACACCACGAAATGGCTCATATTCAATATTATCTCCATTATACAGATCAGCCATTGCTGTTTAAAGAAGGAGCGAATCCCGGTATGTACCTACTACAACTATTGTATTAGTATATTTTTTTAAAATTAGATCGATTACAAACATATCAATATATTTAGGTTTTCATGAAGCTTTGAGTGATGCAGTTATTCTTTCTATTTCCACACCACGACATTTACATAGGATTGGACTATTGAATAACATAACCGACGATTATGGTATGATTGCAATTTAAAATTTAAAAACAAAATATTTTATGCATTAAATTGTTTTTATTTTATTTTTATTTTTTGCAGAAGGTCAAATAGACTTCCTAATGGAAATGGCTTTAGACAAAATTGCTTATCTACCTTTTGCCTATTCAGTTGATTTGGTAAGTAGCACTGAATAAAATATAATAATTCTAGGTAATTGTGTAGGTAGGTAGGTACCTACCATAAAGTAAAAATGTTAATCAAAACAAAACAAAGAAAAACGATTAAGCTAGCTGGCTCTACTGTTGGTCGTTTTCTAAGGAGTGTTGTCTAAGACGTCTAGGCAACTCATTATGTTTCTAAATTTCTAATAACTACCTATCATCACATTTTCAACACAATGTCATGTCTATATGGTCTTTGTGTTGTACTAAATGAGCGTGAGTGTGTACAAGTGCAAATGTGCCCTCATTATTATACTCGAATCACTTACGCACTCCTCGCAGGTACACGTACAATTTTTAATATTAGGTATATGCGTATGGTATAATATTATAACTGTCTTTTTTGTCTTAAAAACTAATATTAGCTATTAATCTGTGATGAAAATTTGGGACTGAGAAAAATATCTAATTTAAACATTGTGTAAATTATTATCAACTCTACACTTTTCGAGTGCACTATAAGAAAAAACGTAATAATTTACAACTGATATTAATATTTATTTTTGTTTATTTTCTTGTAAATACTCATTAAAATGTTCAATTTACTGATTAAAATAATAAGGCATTTTTGATGGTATTACTTATAATACTTTCAAAATATAAAGATTATGAATTAGTTCGATTATTATATTTATATAGGTTTATACAATTTTAACTTTAAGAGGGCGTGATACCCGCATGTGTTGTCTCCGTCTTACAAGTGCGTAACATAGCAAATTCTACGCAAATCAGAACACGTGTAGTTTCGTTGGTTTAAAAATTAGAGTAAATTGACCTCTTATAAAATCTAAAGGTAAGATTATTATCTAGACAACCTCTTGGGCTTTTTATTATACTTTAATTTTAAAGCGGGCTATGAGTATTTTAAAATTGTAAATTGCTTGTACATTTTTAAGTACTCATAACTCGCTTGAAAATTAAAATATAATAAAAACCTCCATAAAGGTTGTCTAGATAGTAATCTTACCTTTCGATGTTATAAGAGGTCAATTCACTCTAATTTTTAAATTAACGGAGCTACAGAAGTCATGAGAGTTGCTGAGCGTAAAATTTGCCATGTTATGCACTTGTACGACGGAGACAACACATGCGGATGCGGGTATGACGTCCTCTTCACTCTTAACTGTCATTTATATCATTAAAAAAAAAAAAAAAATGCTATTTTGATTATTTAAATAAAATTACTTTAAGGTGACTTGTATATGAGTACTTATGTCTAATACAAATACATTTTAAAAATAATCATCATCAAAATTGTTGAATTATTCATTGATTTTTTTTGGAATTTATAAATTATTTAGTATTTGGTTAGTGAAATTTAAAGTATCGAATACCTATCTGTTATTGTGATACTCCAAATACAAGTAGGTACTTACCTATCTAGCTATAACTAATATCTCGATACTCATATTTAAGTACCTATCTTACCAATCTTTGCCTATTTTTGAAATATAAATGTAAAATTTCAGTGGCGATGGAGCGTTTTTTCCAAAGGCGTACACAACTTAAATGCTCGATGGTGGGATTTAAAATTATTGTATCAAGGAATCATTCCACCGATTGCCAGGGATGAAAACGATTTCGATCCAAGTTCTAAGTATCATGTGATCGCTGATACTCCTTATATAAAGTATGTATGATGCCTACATGTAAGGTGTAGTAAAAAGCTAAGCAATAGTTATGGTTTTAATGGAATTCTTACCAGCTATCTAATTTTATATTGACTCCAAGTGTAGAGACTCTAGATTGGGTTTCCATATATACTGTGTACACTATTATGTATATTATATTATGTAGGCACTCAAAGTTCTAAACTGCATTCTTAGTTAGTAATACCTACAAAAATCAATTTGCACTTTTCAAGCACAGATACCTAACCGATGGACATTGCAATTTTGCAATCTATACAAATCAAAATTCAAACTATAAAATTATCTAGTGACCGAAATATTGTCATTATTTTATTTGCAATTCGTAATCAATGATTACAAGAAAACTATGTAGGTAGTTGTTGTCAAATCGTTATAAATAGGTATTTAATAACTTGTATAAATTGTTTATTCGTTTCCTTTGAGTTTTAAAAATTTGCATGGTTTCATAATTAATTTGAACAGTAAAAATAAAAATTTAAAAAAAAAAACTATTGAACACAAGGTATAGTAGATTTTGAGTGTACCCAACTCACGAGTAAACCTCTGTAATTTATTTGTTAAATTTGATATAATTATTAATCGAAGCATCCGAAATCTCCTGAGCGGAGAAGGTGTAGTGTCACCATTTTTTTTTAAGGAGTTTTATAAAATGTTTATATTACTATTAACATTAAATGAAAACTGAAATCAACTTCCAACCACAATCGATGTTATAATATACTCTCAAAGATGTAACCACCAGTGACATCTATCGGTTGCTTCCAAATATACTCTATTCAACTTCAGAAATTCAGTTGGCGGGGACCATTTAATAAAATACTTAATTTAGTGTCAAGTCCCTTAATATTTTTTGACTAATTCCAAATTTCCACAACTAACTTCTCACTAGGTACTTCACTAGATGCTGTCATTTTTCACTTCACGCAATCACGTGTATTCTATTAAAGCCACCGGTAAAATATTTAAACCACTATACATAAATATTAATATAATTTATACTTCTATTATCTGTCATCTGTAAATATAAATGTGGATTGATTATTTCAATTTAAGCTATAAAATATTTCAGATACTTCATTAGCATCATTCTACAGTTTCAAATACACGAAGCCTTGTGTACAGCAGCAGGACATATTGGTCCATTACATACTTGTGACATATACCATTCAAGAGAAGCTGGTCGAATATTGAGGTAGGTACAAAAATGGATTTGATAATATACCAATAATGAGGCATGTGATCATACTCTTTCAGTGTTGCTAGTTTGCGACTTAAAAGTACGGCGTACCAGCGACATAATTCTTTTAAGTTGCATTAAATATAAAACAGAAAATTGCCTTTATGTGTATTCGTTTTAAAAATTATGAAAGGTTAGCTTAATATTCCAGATACAAATATAAAGACTGTAATGACCATATAATTTGAGAATGTAAAAATCTTTTAAATAAAAATTTTTAAATGACCAAGAAGTATCAAAAAAATACAAAAATTAATTACATTTAAAAATAAATCAAAATGGATTTATGTTTTCATAACTTATTTCATTACTAATTGACTATAGGAAAACAAATAGGTGAAGGTAACCAATACTTAAAGCCTGACGGCAGTATTGTAATCAAATACGAAAATATAGATAGGTACTTGGTATCATTAAAAAAAGCCACATCAAATTATTTTTAGTAAGGTGCAAGGCCTGGATTGAATATAAACGAGACCTGGGGTAATAATGTTTTAGAACTACTTGATTTATATAAATAGGTAATTAAAGGGTTGGATTAAATAACATATTATACAATTTTTTTTTTGCCAAATAATGTGTTACATAAAAACTATGACTCAAAACGAAAAAGATACAAATAATAAAAGCAAAAAAAGTAAAATTAAAATGTCTTTCATTGATTTTTTGTATCATACAAAAACATAAAAAAAAAATGCGTTAAGTTTCGGGCTTAAAGTAATAAATTATTACTGTATTTCAAAGTCCAATCTTTAACGAATAATTTATTGAGTTGGTACTTTTTGTTTCTTGAAGTCAATATAAACTACCGGTCTACCCATATTACGATATATATATAAGTAATAACTAACAAAATGATGAAAGTGCACAGTATAGTTATACGAGCCCAGATTAAGGAGCGGGGGGGCAAGGGGGCACGGTCTTGGGGCCCATATTTATCCCCAAAATATATTTTTTTAACGCGTCCAATACAGTTTAAAAAAAAAAAAAATATGTAAGTAGGTGGGTGTGTAGGTAAATTATTATAAATAATTATAAAATAAAATTGTTCTCAATTTTATGTCACGAAAAGTTACTATAAATAATAAACTATGTTTGCCAACAATTTTGTTTGTTTTTTTTTTTTTTTTTTTTTTTTGAGCATTTTAGATTACAGATTTAATTATTTAAGTATATAAAAAGCTAGTTATAAGAAAAAAATATTTAGCTCTTGTAAATTAGGTATCTCAGTTAAAAGTATTAATGCATATTATACTAAAATTTAGAAGACCATAGTTAATAACCCAGTAAACCAAAATTGATCATTATACTGCCAAAATGTTCAGAAAAAAAGCTTTACCAGAACGCATAACAAAATATGGTGGTTACCATTTGAAAAAATAAAATTGATTTTATTATTGGTACAACTGCGTGTTTCAAAATTTTGAAAATGTTATAAAAATATTGCCTGTTAATAATAGAGAAACATAAGTCTTTTTTATTTTAACGAAATTCCATATCATGAAAATTTAACACAAGGGTCCTCCTCATAAAATCAGTTCAAAAATAACAAAGATACATAATATGTATATTATGCATTGTTTATTTTTTTATATGCATGTTCAAATTTTTACATAACTCATCAAAATCCCGAAAATTTGAAAATTAATTTTCCAGTTAAAAATGCATAAAAGTTTTTTTCATTTCCTATAGCTAATATTAGAAATTTTAATACAGAAAATTCTCATAAAGCTGTTCTACCATTATCAGAATAAAATACTTCACCGGAAAGTTACGCTATTTATAGCCATGAGATATTTTCGATTTTTACAAATTTTTTTTTTTAATTATTAAATCTGATTATTTATACAAGTATATGATAGGATGACAAAACGTCTCCACTCAGAATCGTTTTTCGTGTGCAATGATTTATCATTGAATTTCTATATGATACATCCATTACAATTACATGCTCGACGACTACTGTAGTTGTCCAAATTTTTTTCTATGAAATATATCATACTATCATAGTATTGTGTTTAAAAAACTTATAGACTGTATTTTTATACAGTTAAATCATAATTAATAAACTATATAGGTGTAAAATATTTATCGTAAGTCAAGTTCCTTCCAATTTATCTTTATTTCCAGTGATATACTTTATACTTTATCATTCGATCTATTTATTTTATAACTGCGTTTTAAGTTGACAGCTTTAATTTTCACCAAATATTTTTATAGAAGAAATCAGCTAAGCTTTAGAGTTTAGATAGAAAATACAATAATTTTAAAAATAGAAACTTAACTCCTACTTGGAAAATAATTAATTTGTATTCGAAAATTTTCCTACAACTATAGTGCAGCTTAGCGGACTCATTTATTAGATTTGGAAGACCTGCATTTTAGGTGGTCGTAATAGATAGGTAATTTTCTAAAAACGTAGGTACCTACCAAAAAATATTCCAACCCGTATTCTGGTTACAAGAACTTCATAATAACAATATAAATGTACGTAATAATATGCCATAGTAATATACCATGGTAGTTTTGTTGGGACATCCAAGTTTGGGTCATTAACCCCCGTTTGTCACTACAACCGGTATTATTATAAACGATCATTTCCGGATAGAACTTGCTAGTTACTGAGCTAGTATAACTGAGTTTTAAACTTAATTTATTGTTCTAACCCATTTTAACAGGTTGCGTACTGGTAAAAGTTCTTAACTAGGTGAGCCGGCACTTAGGTACCTACCCCATCCGGCACAATAAACGATTTCTACTGTATACCTATACCTGCTGCCGGATACAATTAGTCCAATGACCGTTATAAATTATTTTAGCTTAGAAACTAGCCGTTAAAATCATTATGAATAAGACCAAGCTATTGCTGTTTTGATAAATCCACACAAAAAACTTGTTTCCTTTTCATCCATACATATACAGTATGAGCACTGATTTAAAATAAAAATAATCATATGTCTAATAAAACTAAACTATTTCACTACGTCATATTATGTTTTGTCTCTATTAGTGAAATGATGTCAATGGGCTATTCAAAACCGTGGCCACAAGTTATTAAAATCCTTACAGGAGGAAAAACGAGTGAAATAGATCCACGGCCTTTGATTGAATATTTTAAACCACTCACACACTGGCTAATAAATGAAAATAAAGTAGAACGAATAGGATGGTCTAGATTAAATGAAGACATAGGTAATATAATTATATAAAACTAAACCATAATGTTACAAGACAATAATCATATTTGTTTTATTGATTTCAGCACTGTTTGAACCCTTATCGAAGGCTAACAATTCCTATTCAGTCAACAAATACTTAATTATATTTGTTGTTTTTAACATATTAAAAAATGTGTACCATTAATTTTACATGTTTAATAATACTTAAACATTTTTTAATTTTAATTTTGAATGTAGTTTTAACCCAATTTGTTCCGTATTATTAATGTTATATATTGTAACTCATTGGTAAAATATTTATGTAAAATAGGTGAATTAAAACGTTTTGATTTACCTACTTCTATAATATAATTTATCCATTTACTTAATTTAAAATAAAATGAAGGATGTATGATTTAAAAACACGTTTTATTTAAGTGTTTGTAATATTAATGACTACAAAGTACAAACACCACAATCTGTTGTAGGACTATCAATAATAAATATTATAACCATAAGTCATAAACCTATGCATAAAAAATACTGCAGGCGAATAAACCTAACCACACATAAGGGGTCCGATTGACATGAAATATGGTACACACTACACAGACATTCAATACCACCAGGAATCCAGGTAAACAAAGACAAATATTTGTACGGTAAAAATAGGGGCCAATATTTTTTACAGTTCAAAAAATGGTTTTAGAAAATAAATAATATTACTCGTGTATAATATAGCTATCTACTTATTACTATGTCAAAATATCCTGTATTGAAATATCCAAGTCGAAGTTAAAAATCCGATTGAAAACTAATGAAAAGATCAAATTATAAACAAATATGGAAAATAGCCATTTTAAAAACAAAATAATAACAATCAGATTATTTGAGTATAATATGAGTGTCAAAATGCCAAATGTTCATAATATTTATTTTTATTTAATGAAAAACTATTACTAACTACTAATATCTATGATGTTATATCTTAAATATATTAATGTACAATAAGAGTCGTATAAACTGTTTTTATAATTCATTTTGAAAGCGTTTCAAATTCAAACTATGGTGAATGTATGTTTATAGTTTAACTATTGCAGCATCGTCATTTAATTCGATAATGTTTTAAGTATTACCTATATTTGTATGAAGAAAATAATTTATACATAGATGTCTTATTATAATAATAATTATTATCTTTGTTCTTTATTATAATATTTATTATTATGACGACATTTTAATTTCAGTCGGTCCCACACATAAACCAGGCGTAATATGAATTTAACACAAAAAATGCACAGCTGTAATCATATTTGCCTAACTGCGAGGTGCACACGTTACCGATGCTATTTCTAAAATATATTTTATCAGTATAATGTTGGACAATACAACACCATAATACGATTATCCTACTGAAATTTGATCATAATCATAATTGCAACAGCCAGTTACTATCCGTTACGGTATCATAGTTAGCTACTAATAGAATCACTTATAATATTTATATTATAGCTGTGGTAATAAGCCTAAACCAACATTATACTAGCATGGTGTTGTAATTTAATTTTGGTGGTTAGTCTGTAACTACCTAACTGATTCCAAAAGCTGACGATATCGACTCGGTGACTAATAAGTAATAACTATACGTGTTTACCCTCGGGCTCACAATCATAATATTATTATGTTTGTCTTGATTTATTTTGAGACTATATACACATGACCGTTTGGATAGTTTGATTAGAAAATAAAAATTATTGTTTCGTACTTAAAATGTTTTAATTTATACGAGCGTCAAGCACTAGCTGCTAGTGGGCCTTGGTGAACCTCGTTTGGGAGTACCCTCTGTTGGGAATATACCTTATATTGAGAGAGTTTAGTTAAAAGTCTCCTAAGAAAAAAGGTTTTGTTTTGTAATGTTGGTGGTCAGATGATTTTTTAATATAGAAAAATTGTCAAAAGTCGTGTTTCACTGTCTAGTTATCAGTTACTACTGCTGAAAATACGTACATTTCCCCAGCCCCATTGATGTCTAATTTTCCAAATTTTTCCACCCCAATAACTAGCACGTGATGAAGACGGATTCGAACGTTTCTGAAATTTGTACTGCACCGCGGTTTATCCAGAAATTTTGATTTTCTGTGAGTGGGGTGGGTGAAACGTTTCTCCAGTCCTATAAGCGGAAAAACAACTTATTCTAAAACTTTTCCAAGCCAATATCTTCATTGGTCTCATAATCAGTTCATTGATTAATTTTTAAAAATATATCCGAGTAGACTTTCTTTTATTGGGAAAATATTTTTTTGTACTCCAACTTTGAACAACAAAAGTGTAATCAGTAAAATAACGTTGTATGCTTTCACAGTTTCACTCGACATAATACTTTTTCTTTAAAAATGTGTACTGATTTTCTTATTTTTGTTTTTATTTATTCTTCAAGAAGATAACGTGCCCCACTGAATATGTTCGTGATGGGGCTCATGAGTTCATAATTTGAAATATAAATTTATTAATATGAAATAATACCCTATATATGCAAAAGCCAATATTAAGGTGACCACCAACAAGCAATATAGTATCATTGTCGAGGAACGAGTTTAATGACTGCAAATTATTACTGAACCTTTTTCTTTTAATATAATTGTTATATTATTTATAAATCTCAATATATACGCAAACACACTCTGAAAATGACTTAGTTTTAAATATTTTGCATACAGTAGTACAAAATAATTATTTTTTATTAATTCAGAGACCATTAATACTGAGTTTTACTGCTACCACAATGCGTCACATAGCGTCTCCTCGTCTTCGTGTATTTGATAGAGTGCTTCCAACTCACCTGCTCGTCCGTCAACCATGAGGATCAAACACAAGGATCTACCACAAGGTACATTTTTGTATATCTTGAACATCACGCCCCCTGGATAAAATGACGGCCGGGTTATCCATACGACCGCTGTGACGTGAACTTATGAACCTTACTCACACGGTTGGCTATACGAATGGTCTCCAACGCATTGGATGAGATCCGAACTAATACCACCTTGGGGCTTGGACCCACTCCAACAATAATTATTTGTAACGCCGGAACAATTGACCGCAGATCTCAATTTGACTAATACCTATGTAATGTATATGAGAAAATATTTTGCATTAAGGGTAGTTCATGTGTTACCAAAAAATCTCTGATCGTTTTAAGGGAATAGGTATGCAAACCCACAGTGTTTTCTGGTTATACCACTTCATTGTTTTTTAAATCTGAAAAACATGAAATTTGTAATTAAAAAAATATGGTTAAAAACTGGATGGTGGGGGAACACCCAGGATTGCTAACGCCAAGAGCACTCAAATACTATCTTTCTGAGATATTACACATCAAAAAACGGAATTTAATGTATACATGGTACCTATTTATTTATTATTTAATTTGTATATAACATATTTAATATACTTATTACTATGATAATGTAATTTTAATAAAATTCAAAATATGGTAAAAAAAATAGGAACAAATAGGTACGCATAAAATATAATAACGACATACGCGGCTTTTAAACAACATTATGGTGCATAAATAAGTACGATAAGACACCGTGAAAAGGAAGAGTTACGAATTTAAAAAATGCTCGATTTATTTCAACGAAAAAAAATCACGGCAACGAAATAATAGACAAAAAACACTCCTTGGAATAATAGGATAGAAATTATAGAATACAATAATTAGGGAATGTATATTAAATAACCAATTTTAAGTTAATACTACCTACTACCTATATATTATAATCAATTTACTTAACAGATTAATGGCTATTAACTCGATATATTTAAGTCCATATAAAGTCTAAAATATACTTTCTATATAATATGATGAAGTTTAATAATATGCATAGAGTATATAGTATATACCTATAATATACCTATAGGTCTAACACTCTAACAATCTCGATTTAAAATAATTATTCTGTACTCATACATTGTTTGTGTAAATATGTGAATTACCTATCTGTACTCGGCTATTAAACATTCACATTATCAATTACACAAAATGTACCGGTTACTTAAATTAAATATTTAAATCAGCAATTATTTTAAATTCCTGTAATAAATATTAATTATTTTAATTGATAATCTTACATTCTTACTTCACACTCACTGCATTTGTTTTGAAATATTCGTGAATAATAAGTAATAAGTAAATAATTGTACATCAGATTTACTTAATTATTAATTTATATATATACATTATAAACACCCTCCATTATAGGACTAGGTAATGCGATTAGTAAACGTTATTAAGAAACATTATATACACACATTACAAAGTCACATCTTAACTTTTGAACTGAATCAATATACAATGAAAATTTCACAATCATATTATTCGATTAGGTACTATAATAATTTAAAGGCTAAACAAATTACTATATATTCAACTATTATTTATTAATGATTATAAGTTATAACTTATAAAGTTATAAGGAATGCACATTTGTAAATTTTCAATTGGATATTATCGCTAAGAAATGTATTAATGTATGTAAATAATGATTATGTAAAATTGCAGTTAATTAAAATTTATATTTTTGCATCAAAAGAAAATTGTTAGGTACATATAAATTTTTACAAATACATTGACTTCATTGTAAATAATAATTTTTCTTTAACATACATAATCTGTTTTAGAAACTCAGCGTAGCGAATGGATGTACATATTGTATTAACAATGATGTATGTTTTTTTTTCTGTCATCGACATTTGGGGTAGGAAAAATTCACTGATTTTCGACATCAGTATTTTTCTGATAGAGAAATTGATAGTGAGATTGATAGATAAATGTAGTTGTTGCATTTGGGAGGTCAAAATTAAAAATGCCCCAAAAGTTTTCAAAAGCGTCAGGAAAATCATACAAAACAACTGAGATTATTACCTAAAACCAGTTTTCGAAAAAATTGAGTTTGTTATTTAGTATAACTCTAAAAAAAAATTACCTTAGGGCTTAGATACATGCATATTTTACTGTATGTTGATATTAGCAATTTATATGCACCATATTTTTTTTCTTTTTAAGCTATTTATAGGCATACGAAAACTACAACATTCCTCATAAGTTGTTGTTAGTAGAAATTAAAATTGAAATTATGAGAGTCTAAAGTTAAAATGTTGACAAAATTCATTAAAATCTCGAAAATAGGTAAATTATTTTGA